GTTGTTATAACTCGCAACACCCCATGATCAAATTTACCATGGAAATAGAAGCTGCTAAATAGTTACTTGGGCTCTTTGTACATCCTCCTCCACTCTCTCCGGCTACATCAACCAGTCTAAGGAATTTCCGAAGGCTAGGATACAGCTCAGAGGTGTGTTCCTTATGCCATCCGTGCTCGACCATTCCTTTCGGAAGTATCTCATTCTAAGGTCTTGGGGCATTCACACAAGATGTGTTGAACCATCTCCTCGTTTCCTTACAAAAGCGGAAGAGAGGACTAACAGCAAGCTTAAGGTTATAAAGATGCTTGTTGATCTTACAGTGACCCGATACGAGTCCCGTTACAGTTCGTAGAGCGTTTCTGCCAAGCCTTACGAAAGACAAGGCTGCCTCTGCTCAGGGATAACGTAATATTTCCTTAGACAGATGGCAGCCCTTAACAAGTTCCCACCAGTTCATAAATTTTTTGTGGGTAAAATCTTTAATTATCTCAATCTGAGTTGATAAGGACGGAGCGATTATCGGTTCAGGGGACCAGGATGCACGCTTGGGAGCCCTTTTGGCAAGCCTATCAGCGTGCTTGTTGCCTGAATAAGTCGAGTGTCCTTTTGTCCATTGAAGTATAACACAGTGTACATTGTGGAAATCTTACCTTCCAAGTTGGATCTGACAATAACGTCAGCAGCAAGTTATATGGCGATTAACTCCGCCTGTATGAAGGTGGTACTTTTATCTAGAGGTTCAGATACGTGGAGTCTGAGATCGTACGTCTACTTGAACCATCAATGTAGATTTTAGGGCTGTTTTTTACCTCTACTTCTGTGGAACTTGGGTGAGTGAGATATTTCTTCGTAAAAATGTGTTGTAGGGGTGTGAAGTCCGTTTTACATTCCAGAATTGGTGAGTAATCGACCATTTCTTTCCAGAGAATGGCATTTTTACTATCTTTCTCACCTATTAGAAACAGTTACTTTTTCTGGATGTTTTGGTCACCGGGAAGATAGAACTAGAAATCCGAATGTTTCTCTTCCCTTAAGATTAACTCCAAAATTATGTTCGTCGATCGTTCTGAAATTCTGCAACTGACGGGAGCTCTACACAGATTTTAAATTGTAAATCAGATTGTGTACCTATGCTCATAATATTGATAACAACATAGGTTCAAATGAGAGCGACACCTGAAGAAGAATAGGAGTGGCTAAAATGTAATGAGTAGACGATCTAAGATCTGGTAAGACCGCTCTATTACAAAAAATACTAAAATGAGGCTAGTGCAATCACTGATCTTCCCCATCTTCTGATGTGGGGCGGAAACAAGAATATTTAAAGCAGCGGACAGAAAAAGAATTGATGCGTTTGAAATGTGGTGCTGGAGGCGTATGATAACGCGTAGATCGAACGAATCGATCCTTATAGCATTGAACATCCAGAATAGACTATCCTGTATTTGTTCTTGCAAATATAGATATGATACTAATAATATGGAGACGTGGATGGTATCGGGAAACATAGAGGGACGAAGGTCTAAAAGGACTAGATTCAGATGTTGTATACACTTCTAATTTCTTTATTATTAATTATAATAATAATTGTGTAAATTGAATGCAAACGATTTAATAATTGATTTACAGTTCCATCTATAACTATAAAATAACTATAACATTAACGCATTGTAATAATAATTACGTTATGGCCCAATACCATCGTTATTTTTTTCTTTCCTACATAGTAAATTTACGAAACTTTTAAATCTTCCACGTCTTTCTATTACTATCTAGAAAAAAACATTCTCCCCCCCTTTATAGTATCGGGTATACATGTGACCACCTGTCCTTAAAATTCATTGGTTATATTCGTTTCGTGTGTGTACACAAGGGTTTCAAGTAAGTTTTTGTATCGAACCCCTTATAAAATTAGTCCCCCTTTGTCATAACCCATAAGAAATTTTTACTCATATATTATTTAACGTTTTTACAATTTCTGTTTTGGTATATATAGTATGTTGTAGGACGAAAATTTTAGTTGTATTTTTAAGATGTTTCGATTCTGTCCAATAGCAGGTATACTGGCTACCTAATGCCTAATCGTTTTGTTTGGTGACCCAAGGTGAAGGTCGCTTGTCAAACACACAGCGGGGCCACTAACCCACAACTGTGAAGTTGATCTTTTTTGTGTCTATTATAACTGTCTGCATATATGAAGTGCATAAAAAACTGTATAATAAACGTATTTTGTATGTACGAAAACTTTCGAATGTAGTAATAACTTTGAGTTTTTATTATTGTTTTAGTAGGTCGGTTGTTTTCGTAAGCTTTACGATTAATTTACGAATAAAAAATAAAAGTCATTTTATTAATTTAATTTTTAAAATTTAATTATTATAACCTTTTTTGTTATATAAAATTATTTCGAATTGGATTTTATACTTTGTTACGCAATGTTTATAACTAAACTCAGAGTTTTAATACACAGTTTTCCACATGAACAATTTTACAATTTTTTTCCGGTTATTTTTGTTTAGTCGAATCGAGATAAATAAACTTTCTATTTATCGATTGAGTAAAGGTAATTTGTAATAACAACAACTATCTTTATAAGATAAAAATGTTATATGAATTATTAAAAAATGTTTTTTTTTAAAAGAGGTGACCATCCGGAATAAGTTCCGCTTAAAGATAATCTTTTACGGCCACATCATCAAGCAATTATAATGTATTTAGGTTATACCACAACTATCCGTTATTAAAGATATAGTTGAGAGGTTTCGTAATGATTATTATTTCGTTTATCTATTCACTGCGTTATAAAATTTTTCTTTTAAAACCATTTTTACAAATCTCTTTAAACAATAATAAAATTATGGACTAACTTTCTAAGTAAGTAATAATAATAGTCTCATTTACATGTACATTCGTCTATATTTTTATGAAATTCTATTTAATTTTTTTGCTTCCTCGTGAAATCGACTTTCTATTGTAACAACGTAAAAATAATAATATTTTATGCTAATTATTGAACTCCGTGAAATTATATTTTCTCCATAACCTATTTAATTGTTGATTTTGTATGCTCTTGTAAATTTTTTTAACCTATTTACATTATAAGTTCAGATATGCATTTACACACACTTTCAATAGGGGACGAAATAGACATTATTTACACAATATTTTTATTACAATTAGTGTATTACATTGAACTATAACTTTCTTCAGACACCAACTCGAAGTGTTTCCCCGAACATTTCTACTTCTTTCTTCCTAGTGACCAAAACAGCCAGGAATGTTTAGCCATTTCCGTTTCCATGATAAATTTGATCATGGGGTGTTGCGAATTCAGGTGGTCTAGACGCTATCTTTCATGCTGCCAAGTCACAAAGGTGTCATCCACGTAACGAAATCATAGCTTTGGTTTCCACGGACCCTTAACACTTCTTCTTCACATATCTCCATGTAGAAATTGGTGACAAAAGTGATCTCATAGCTGCCCCTGCGTATTGCTCGTAGAATTTTCCCTTGCTGCTAAAATTGATGATAAACTAGTCCTTTATGGCGAAGACCACCCACGGCCTCTTTGACTGATACTGTAGTAAACCGAGGTTCCAGATCCAAACTTATCAGGATATCCTGGGGATCTAACTTGATACTTTTGATTGATTCCACAAAATGCAAAGAATGTCTGACGAATGATTTTGCTTTACTTGTAAAAGGAGAAAGAATGTTGATAATTCAATCAGTAATTCAATATTGTACTTTGGAAAATTTATGGCACTGATAATATCTGATTAATGGTTGTTAGGTAATCCATAAATTCGTGGTGGTACAAATAAACTTCTCTGTTATTCTCCTGAAATTTCTGTAGATTTCATCTTTTGATTTTCTTATAGTTAGCCGTAGTCTTTCATATCCATGACCAGAGTCATGGTCATTCCTTTTGATGTCTGTCTTTTCTCAGATCGTTCAGGAATATATTATGATAATAATTTATACACGTTGTCATTTCTTCTAAATGATGCAAATTGGTTAATGTTTACATTTCAAACATTAAAACGTACGTCGACTATTTATAGGTTTTTAATAGATAATTTCCTTACTTTTAATTATTCATGCATTAATATGTGGATAAATTTTTATATGCTCTTTACGGTTTGGTAATGAAAATATATCTAGAATGTTTTAAAGGTGACCTTAGCGCGATAATCTGTATTATTGAAAGGCATTTAAAAAACCTAGTCGTTGGCTACTGTTTTAAGTACGTTCTACATACATATTCAGTGATACTTTCATTGTTCCTCGCGGCATTGACATAATATTACAACGATTCCGGCGGAGTGACATTTAAAGAAGCTCGGTTTTGCACTAATTTTCTATTTTGGCGTATCATCGTATATTGTTATTTAAACCGGTGCGGAGTGCTGTCGCGCGTCTTCTGTATACGACGTTTAACCAACCATCAAGTTGTCAGATGTAAACATGTAATAACTGTCCGAGAAAACTGCAGTACTTGTTGCGTCTGAAATAATTTAAAGACGGCCTGTAGATTTTTAACACCATTTTATCTTATCTCTAACATGTAAAAACCATGTTTGTTTATGTGCGTTTGATAAATATATAAAGATACGTATCCCACAAACCCAGGAAATGTTTTGTAACGATAATAAGTAAGCTTAAAAATGGTCTACGACTGCTAATTCTAATAAAAATTATCAGAGAATTAGTCTTGACGAACAACTGAGCAATGAGTCACATTTGTTTTACGAATAAATCAAACCTAAACTAATGAAGTACCGTTAAAAACGTTTAGTCTTCAACGAACCGGACGCGTCGGCGTTACTTAATTTGGCAACTATGTAAATATTCTGTAAATATTGTTTGTTTTATCTAAAATAAATATCTCCAACTGATAATGGAGTAGATTCCTCGACTGTATGTTTTTAATAATACATAGTTAACGTTTTATAAAGATACGAGATGAATTAATTCTTATTTTCTCTGTGTTACAGTAAACAAAAAGGAACCTAGTTTCGATAAACCTAAATCAGAGACGAGAATACTAAACTGGAAGTGATTTGTGCGGGTGAACCGATCGATACCGAATTTCGCGTTCTGCCGCCCCCTTATAATGGTAACCATTTTAAAGATGACGTGAATGAGATGAACATCGGGAGGTCGCTATGTGTCGCATAAAGCGATGGACTCGTACGATTTGTTCGGGGAAGATGGACCTGGAATGCTGGAGGGTCTGCCCGACCTCGGGAGCAGCGATCACTTCGACCCTACGGTGACGGGAGCGCGAGATGCAACAAACAACTTCGCACAGCCCAATTACCCTCAGGAAACTCCATTGCAGAAACTGGCTTCCTTCGGCGGCACTGACTTCAACAACCATATGGATCCAAACGCTCAAAGTGTCTACGCCCAGCAAGGGTACGGTACTGATCGCCCGATGGGACCGCCCGGTGGCGCTTATCAGCACCAGAGGCAAATGGCTCGACCACCAGTGCCACCACAAGCGGCATCTTCACAGTATCCGGGCTATCAACCTCAGGATAATTCCATGTACTCGATGCCCGATCACCAAATGGGAGGAATGGGAGACACCGCAAGTATGCAAGCGGCTGCAGCCGCTTGGGGACAACACGCTGGATATCCCAGTATGCACCGATACGGACAAATGGCTGGATATAGACAACAAAATATTTCTTACGGTCATCAACAAGACCAACAAAAGCAGCAGTTCCCACCATCGCAACATCCCATGATGCAGCAGCCGCACCAAGCGAGTGGCTACCCCACGATGCAACAAAGACACGCCCCATCGCATTATACCCAAAACACTACTTATCCCGGAGCCACATCGGCTCAGGGCTACGGAAATTATATGCATCAGCGGATGCCACATCATCATGCACCACAATATCCGCAAACCCATCACCAAATGGATATGAACGTTGCGTCGCAAGCTCAGCAGTATAACCACATGACTCATGGACAAAATCTTGCCGGCCATATGCCACAATCTCATCCAACGCATCCACCTCAAACGCACAGCACACCTAGTGCTACTCAGAATCCAATGGCCCATCCGGGAATAGCTTACGGACAACATCAAACGATACAGTCGATGCAACGTCCCATGGACATGCCGCCCAATACGCAACAGTTTGCCGCTAAACACAGCACTGGTCCGATGGGCAACGCTAGCCCTCAATATCGTGCGCCGTTCCCCCAACTATCTCCTCAGATGTCTCCGAGACCGCAAATGTCTCCAAGGCCACCTGCGCCGCAAATGTCTCCACGACCTGTCATGTCTCCAGCGAAACCAAATTTGTCTCCGCACCCACAAATGCAACAAACAACTCACAGTCCAAGACCTGCTACGAGTCTCACGCCAAAGTCATCGACGACGTCTCCCGCGTCCGTTTCGCAGTACGCTCAGCAGCAGAGTACGTTACAAGCACTTGAACAAATGGTTATGCCCCCGTCTAGCACCACAGCTACGGAATATCCTACGTATCCAAGAAATACGCTAGGACCACCGCCAACGTCTCAAAATCCACTATCTCCTATGAGTATACGATCCGGAATGTCCGATCAACAGCAGCAACAACAACAGCAGTGGGCAACTCAGCAACAACAAAGGTCATCTCATTTGTCTAGTATGAATGGCAGTATGGGTTTATTGGACTCAAGCCAAATTCCAACCAGTCAAGGGATTCCTTCGAATCAAGGAATGCCCACGTCGCAGCAGAATATGGCACAGGTCCAAAGTGTAAATACAGTACCAACGCCTACGATGCAAAATACTCAAAGTATGCACATGTCTTTCTCAACCGATGATTTACGAAGTGATATTAGTAACAAAACTCCGGTACCGATTCCCGAAATGAGTATGTCTCGAGATAATTCGTTACAAAGCCCAATACATTCTCATCAGCAACAATCTACGCAACATTTGATGCAACAGCATCTAACTGATTTAAATCAGGTTCAATCTCCAGCATCAACTAGCATGCCTGACAAATTACCTAGCAGTACTACAAATACAGATGTTATGAACATCTCAACAAGTATGTCTTTGTCTACGTCTCATCCGCCGACGCCGACGCCATCTTCAACAACGGACGACCATAACACTAATTTGGACAAATGTCTTCCAGTAACTTGCGATTCTATTAAATCATTGGAAGATAGCAACAGTAGCAATTCTTTACAACCGTCGATTCAACAGCAACCGACTCAGAGCCAAAACAGCAACAGCAGTTTTGACTTTAGCAATGTCGCTAGCTTATCGATGTACGCAAACAGTCAAACTCAAAAATCAAATAAATCCGACGAGTTAATGTCTTCAAACGTTCCGTTATATAGTCAGGATAATTCTATGCATTCTGAATCAAGCACGGATAACCAAATTACAACATTGGGTGTTACTCAATCGCAAGTAACGCCCACAAATACTTTTTCTCAAAATCCACAAACACCTTCAACTGTTTCGACTACCCAGTCCCAATCGGATTTAACGTCTCCATTAATAAATTCGACGATGGCACAAAGCCCTACAGCTCAAACCTCTCCGTTAACACCGGTTCAACAACTATCAAGTTCCGCACAAAACCAAGTACAACCAAATTCGGTAAATCAGAACATGACAATGGGTATTTTGGAAAATCAAGGCCAAATTCCACCTTCAACTACTTCCATGAACACATCCACCACTTCCATTAATCAACAAGCACCGGGAAATTTGAACCAACTTGCCCCGAATAATCCATCTTTGGTACCACAAATTGCTCCAACGCCGCATAATCAAATAACAATGCAACATGGTGTACCACCGATGCAAACCAGTGGTAATTTAACACCATTGGGAACCATGACTTCCATACCACCAGCAACCCCTCAACAGACATCTCTTTATGACACAGCTCAAATGATGAATTCAATAGGTCCACCAATACCTCCTCATACAATGAACATTACTCATCAGAGAATGGGATCGATTGGTGCAGGAATAATGCCCACGATTTTACCTAGTCAAGAAATCGGTTATCAACCCCCGATTAGTCATCATCAAGAAAGAGCTGCTTTACAGCAACAGCTACAAGAATTATATTGTATGCCGCCTGGGCAAGAACATCAAGATAAAATTCTTCATTTGCAAGAAAGGTTAAATATTCTCACTCAACATGAAAATACAGAACAATGTAATGGTGGCCCGCAATGTGTTCTTCAAAGTCCATTGTTTACATCTCCAATGATCGATAGTCCTCAAGTATCGAGTACAACAGGAAGAGGTCGAGGAAAAGGAACACCAAGAACTAAGAATAAAAGAGGAAAGAAAGGCGAGAAAACTTTATCGCCAATAAATACAACACAACCAACTATTGATACGACTGTAGTGGCACCTCAGCAATTACCAGTTTCTGAAGACTGTGTAACACCAGGTGCCGGTTTAACAATTCCTTCTGGTGAACTAACAGACATAAATGATCCAGGTACGGATTCGTTTTCAGGTGACGAAACCACCGATAAAGTCAAAAAGAAAACTAGAAAAACAAGGGAATCTAAAAAATTAAAAGAAAAATGTAAAGAACCTAAAGTTCCTAAATCATCAAAAATAACTAGAGAAAAACGTAAGAAAGAATTAAAAGATCCAAGTACACCAAAAAGAAAATACGTTCGTAGAAAAGGAAAAGAAGGTTCATTGGATGATTCTGCTTCTGAAGATAATAACAAATCTTTCGAAGTAACAGAGGAAGTCGAAACTTCCAATATAATAGAGAGCTCTCAAAATGTAGAATCGAGCGAATCTGTACCAGAATCCACTAACGCTGAAGATGATTGCACACCCCAGGCGGATTCTCAAACAACAATGGACGAAAACATAGTAACAGAGGGTGAAGGTGATGGTGATAGCAAGAAAGACGAGTACGCATTTGAAGATATTCAATGTGTAGAACCATCTGAAAAGAAAAAGGGAAGAAAATCGAAAAAGGTAGTGGCAAGTAAAGCGAGGAAAAACGCAGCTGCTGGTGGTAAGAAAAAACGTAAAGGTGCGATGGTTGCCGAATCCGATGGTGAAGGTGAAGATTTAGCTACAACTCCACCACCAAGTCCACCGGAAGATGAAAGTTCCACACACAAAAGACGATCCGCCAGAAACACACAAAGAAAGAAATATATCGATGACGTCATGTTGAGATTTTCTGATGATGAATCTCCTGTCCCATCGAAATCTAAGAAAAGCCAACAACCTCCACCAACACCACCTGCAGCAACATCTGCTGGAAGTCCAGTTAATGACACTCCTGTTCAAACAGTCGACAGTGCAAATAAACCCAATTTCGTTTATATTAACACAACGGATGAAGATTCGATGGTGGTGCAACATGTTTTAACATCAAGAATGGCACAAAGAGTGAAGAAAAAGCCGCCCCCTCTTCCACCAGTTGTGGAAGAAAAGAAACCAACAGAAACTGAAACAACTACAGACGAAACAACTAATAAGGAAACCGATAAAGAACCTGACGAAGACGATGAAATTAAAGAAGAACAAGATGATGAAGATAAACCTCCTAACGAGAAGGATGATAAAGAAACGAAAGAGAAAGAATCGGAACCTATAATTCCAGATGTTAAAGAAGAGGAAGAAATGGAGGATGTTGAAGAGTATTATGTTAAGTATAGGAATTTTTCGTACTTACATTGCGAATGGAAAACCGAGGATGAGTTGTATAAAGGCGATAAAAGAATTGCTAATAAAATTAAACGTTTCAAACAAAAACAAGCCCAACAGCTTAATATATTTGAAACTTTAGAAGACGAATTCTTTAATCCAGATTACGTGGAAGTTGATCGCGTTCTTGATATGGCTGAACATGTAGATCCTCAAACACAAGACAAAGTCAAACATTATTTAGTTAAATGGAGATCTTTACAATACGAAGATTGCACTTGGGAATTAGAAGAAGATGTTGACCCGTTAAAAATTCAACAATATTTAAAATTCAGTGCGTTGCCAACTAAAGACAAATTCAAACCGAGGAAGAGGCCGAGTCCCGACTCCTGGACAAAACTAGAAAAATCTCCAATATTCAAAGGAGGTAACAGCTTAAGAGAATACCAATTGGAAGGTTTAAATTGGTTGTTATTTTCTTGGTATAATGGAAGGAATTGTATATTAGCGGATGAAATGGGCTTAGGAAAAACCATTCAAAGTTTAACACTATTACATTCAGTTTGTGAGTATGGTATTCGAGGCCCATTTTTAGTAATAGCTCCATTGTCTACAATTCCAAATTGGCAAAGAGAAATAGAGAGTTGGACAGATATGAACGTGATTGTGTATCATGGCTCGGCCGCGAGCAGAAATATGATTCAAGAATACGAAATGTGGTTCAAAAACGATAAAGGTCAACCTATTAAAGATTTAACTAAATTTAACATATTGATTACCACTTTCGAAATTATTGTAACCGATTTCGCAGATTTGAAAGGGTTTAATTGGCGAATATGCGTTATAGATGAAGCGCATCGTTTAAAAAATAGAAATTGTAAATTACTGGAAGGATTGAGACAATTAACTTTGGAGCATAGGGTGTTATTATCAGGGACGCCTTTACAAAACAACGTCAATGAATTATTCTCGTTACTTAATTTCTTGGAACCGAGCCAATTTCCTAGTTCCGAAGCGTTTTTACAAGAATTTGGAGCATTAAAAACCGAGCAGGAAGTAAGCAAATTACAAGTTTTATTGAAACCGATGATGTTGCGACGATTAAAAGAGGACGTTGAAAAATCTTTGGCACCGAAAGAAGAAACGGTCGTCGAAGTTGAATTAACAAATATTCAAAAGAAGTATTACAGAGGTATTTTAGAAAGGAATTTTTCGTTCTTATCAAAAGGAACAACTCACGCCAACATACCTAATTTAATGAACACAATGATGGAGTTGAGAAAATGCTGTATCCATCCTTATCTTTTAAACGGAGCGGAAGATCAAATTCAATACGATTATAAACAACAACACGGAGAAGATATTGACGCTTATTATAAAGCTTTGATTCAATCCAGTGGTAAAATGGTTTTAATAGACAAACTTTTACCGAAATTAAAAGCAAACGGACATCGTGTATTAATTTTTAGTCAAATGGTAAAGTGTTTGGACATTCTTGAAGATTATTTGATGTTTAGAAAGTATCCGTACGAAAGAATTGATGGTAGAATTCGAGGTAATTTACGTCAGGCTGCAATCGATAGATATTCTCGACCCGATTCCGATCGATTCGTCTTTTTATTGTGCACGAAAGCCGGAGGATTAGGTATTAATCTTACTGCCGCTGACACTGTTATCATTTATGACAGCGATTGGAATCCACAAAACGACTTACAAGCTCAAGCTCGCTGTCATCGAATAGGTCAGCAGAAGATGGTTAAGATCTACAGGCTCTTGTGCAGAAACACCTACGAAAGAGAAATGTTCGATAAAGCTTCGTTAAAACTTGGTTTAGATAAAGCCATCTTACAGAGTATGAACACTTCCCAAGGTGGTAAAGATTCGGGTAATCGTCAACTAAGCAAAAAAGAAATTGAAGATTTATTAAAGAAAGGCGCATATGGAGCTTTGTTAGACGAAGAGAAGGAAAGCGAAAAATTTTGCGAAGAAGACATCGATATAATCTTAGCGAGAAGAACGCAAGTTATTACAATGGAATCCGAAAAAGGATCAACATTTTCAAAGGCTACATTCGCAGCAAGTTCAAATCGTTCAGATATTAACATAGACGATCCAGACTTTTGGAATAAATGGGCTAAAAAGGCGGAAATCGATACCACAGAGAAAGACGAAACCGAAGACTTGGTTATTTCAGAACCAAGGAGACGTACTCAAATTAAACGTTACGGACACGACGAAAGCGCCATCGATATGTCCGAACTTGAATCGTCATCTGATTCGGATATTGAAGGCGGGGGCGGATTAGGTTTAAGTAGAAGTAGCAGAAGAAATAAGCATAAAAATAAGAAAAAGCTTTTAGATGATTATGTTCCAAGAGAAGGAGAAAGAGGAGACATTGTTTATGGCAGTTGGGCGAGGAGAGAATGCTTTATGATTGAAAGAGGATTACTTACTTTTGGATGGGGACGTTGGCAGGAAATTTTAACACATTCACAGTTGAGGAAAGGATGGAGGGATCAGGATGTTGAAGACTGTGCAAGAGTTATTGTAAGTTAAATATTAAAATTGTGATTCTCATCCGTCAAAATGACATTTTAATTTCACTTACAGTTAGTCACAAAAGTCTACATACATCAAGTAAATTCACTCATATTATTGAACATTTTGTTTTAAAAATATTTATTACTACCTGAATGTAGACAATTTTGAAACATCATAACTATTTTATCTCACAAAAGTCTACATACACATGTATAAAACTTGACATTATTAAATTAATCTTAGTCAAATACAAACATTTTAATATTTTGTAGGTCCACCTTGCAAATCCAGCCTGGAGTTGTCTTGGCATAGAAAGAACAAGATTCTCTGTTACATTGACTGGTTTTCAGCCCAATCTTTGTTTAGTCAAACCATTACCGACTCTTTACCACATGTTTAACTGTTGGAAGCAAATTTATTACTTTCGTTTCTTGGTTTGCCTTTCGCCAAAGATTTCCTCTTACATCCGACCCGAAAATATTATACTTATTTTCGTCAGTAAACAAAACTGTTTTCCAAAATTCAAAGTTAGTTACAAGATATCTTTTAGGAAATTCAATCCTTTTCTGCTTGTTTTGTTGAGAAATCAAAGATTTTCTTCGTGGAACTCGTCCATGCTATAAACAGTTTTTGGATGCTTATTGAAATTCTTCTGCCAGTTGAGGAGCACTTATTCTGGGATTGCTCTGCTGATTTTTTCAAATTGCCTTGCAATATTTCCAAATACCATCCATAATACCATCAATAAAAATCAAATTTCCTAGCTGAGTAGCCGCTATCGAGCCCCAAACCATTACCGACTCTTTACCACATGTTTAACTGTTGGAAGCAAATTTTTTACTTTCGTTTCTTGGTTTGCCTTCCGCCAAAGTTTTCCTCTTACATCCGATCCGAAAATAATATGCTTATTTTCGTCACTAAACAAAATTGTTTTCCAAAATTCAAAGTTAGTTGCAAGATATCTTTTAGCAAATGCAATCGTTTTTTGCTTGTTTTGTTGGGAAATCAAAGGTTTTCTTCGTGGAACTCGTCCATACTACAAACAGTTTTTGGATGCTTGTTGAAATTCTTCTGCCAGTGGAGAAGCACTTATTCTGAGATTTTCTTTCAGCCGTTTTGAAATTGTACGGATATCACGTTGATTTAAAACTCTTTGACGACCAATTAAATTAATATTATTTGATGATTTCCTTTCCATTTTATGTCTAATAAATAAAATTCATTTTTGCACTTAAATGGATTTTTATTTAATTTTTCTCAAGCGGTTTCGCTATACATTTACAGCATCTTCAGGCGAGTCATGCGGGTTGGCAACTCGCATGACACATCAATTCTTAACACAATTTTTAATCCTCTTCAATCATAATTCAACAAAATTCTCTGCATGGTTGAATAATACAAATATAAAAAGAAATACCAAATGACTACCAAATGTCAATACCAAATGACTCATTTTATAGGACACGTTTGTAAAAAAATGACGTAATCTCCTGAAGATGCTGTAAATGTATAGCGAAAGCTGTTGAGAGAAAAATTAAATAAGTGCAAAACCGAATTTTATTTATTATAATTAAATTAATAGTTTTTACAAATTTTCATTTAATTATTTGGATTATTGCTCGACTTTTGCCAATTAGTAATTTCACCATATCATTTCCCCTCATTTCTTAACTTTACTATTAAATGGCGAACTATAAATATTAACTAGAAATGTCTGTGTAAGGTCTTTTGTATCTAATGCATAACTGTATGTCGACTTTTGTGAGGCTTTGTGAATGTTTTGCTCTGTCCATGGAGCACTCAATAAACAGAAGTAGTTTTAGATGTAATGCAAAGATGAATTTAATGGTCTTTATTGCGGTTTTACTATTTTAGGTAGTTTAGGTGGTAATCTAATTAATTACGTTTTTAGCTCTTATATTGCTTGCGGTTCTATCGTGGTGATGAAAAGATCCGTTCGTTTATATGGGATTTGATCACTCCCTCGGAGAACGGCGAGCAGAAGATGAGGAACCATCACGGACTTAAGGATCCTGTACCTAGAGGTATCAGAAATAAGAATAAGAAAAAAGGAAAGGATTCCAGACATGCTGCTCTTACAGACCCCAACCATTGGAGCAAGAGTGAAAAGTACGACGGAGACATTTTCTTAGAGAGCAACTACAAGAAACACTTAGGCCGCCATGCAAACAAGTAAGTTATAAGTTCGATCAAAGAAGGAGAAAATGGATTATTTACAGTGATTTTAATTTCAAATGATGACTATCATGCTAATTTAGAGAATATGAAGGTATTCAATGAGAAAAAATATTTCTCAAAACAACTGATTTATCTTAGTTGTTGTTTAGATCATTTTTTATAAGATTTAAAAATAATTTAATATAATTTATTTTCAGGTTATTATTGCGAGTAAGGCTGTTATACTATATTAAACACGAAATAATAGGGGATTTAGTACAACATATAGCAGATGGTGTGAGTGCAAGGTAAGAAATGTTTTATTTATTTTTTTTTTTGAAGAGATAAAGGATTATAGTCGTTGCGATCCATTACATCGGCCAGTTAGGTTATAGAACTGTCTGTTTCTCTTTATTTCAATCAAAATGTTATACGGGAACAGCATCGCTTGACGATTATTAACATTTATATATATTTTTAATTTTTGCATGCTGTGCTTGTGGCAATGCCGGAGCTTCAGCGAAGAATTTGTTTTCTTTTTAGCTAACTTAATTTTTTATACCATTTATTATTAATTTTTTATTGGTGTTTTTATTTTACCATCTAAAACAATTATTAATTTTTTCATTATTAATACGTCATTAGGCTTGTACGCTTGTTTTTTAACACCTTTCATCTCGATCGTTTTGTTTTTTATTAACAAATTCTTCCGATCATTTAAACATTTTTCCTCATTACCCCCTTAAAAAAAAAAATACGGTACGGCACTTGTTACCAAATTTACTGTTTTGATTATAAAATAGGAAAATCTGTACATATTTCTTTTTTTTTCTGGTTAATTTTAGAGAATGTTTCACAACTTCTTATTAATTTTATATTGTTAATGCATTGAAATTCATAAAAAATATATAAAAGAAATTTAGAATTATATTTTAGGATTTAATAAGGAAAATAATAAGACTTTTTACAACGATCTCAAAACATCTCAAGGTAACAATTAAGTTGGTTACAAAAGTGTTTGTTTTTATTTAAAATTACTCATTGATTCTGTGGAAGGCAATGAATTAAACCTATAATTATTTAATTAAAAGAATTGACAAAGCTATATATGTCGCAGGGAAATGATAAAAATAGCGATTTGATCAAATCCCTAAGGTGATATCTCAGTGGGGTGATTTCTCTAAAAAAAACTAAGTGGTTTGATCAACAACAATAATTATTGAAACACAAATTATTTAATCTAAGCTAATTAACATCGTTGATTTGTGTCATCTCGAATTACAAAATACGTTACTTTTTTACAGACACATCTTTTTGTTTTACGTTGTAATTTGGAATCTCTGCAATCTCACGCAGACTTAGGTTAATTTGTGGATCTGTTTCGGTAAAAGTTGTAGTAGGCAAAGGTTTGAAGATTTTTGGATCCAGCCACAAGTCAGCTAGACGAAGCTCATTGCCAATATTCTGTTTCTTTTTACAAGTAAAATAAAATCATATGTCAGAGATTCTACATATTGTATGAAGTTCGAACCTCCATTTACTAGAGTACCATTCAATGATGCTGTGGGTAGTCTTCGACAGAAACTCATTCCAGAGAGTTTACTGAAGTATATTCTAGGGCTAGTAGAGTGCTGATTATCATAGACATATTTTAGTTTGAAAAGAAATTCTAAAAGCAATGCGAAGGAAGTTCTGGTGATCATCGTTCAGGTGGTCCAGAAGTTTTTAGACTACCTGAACTCGCAACACTCCATGATCAAATTTATCATGACAACGGAACCTGCCAAACAGTTATCTTTCTTGAATGTTTTGCTCACTACGAAGATAGAATTAGAAACATTGGGTTTAGCTGTCTTGAGAGATGGAGATGTTATTCAGCGTTATGTTGTTGTATATTTTTATTGAAATAGAACTAGAACTAACACTAGACTTAGAAGTAGAAACATTCGGATTCCTTGTTCTTGAGAGAAGCATGGCAAACCCGAATGTTTCTAGTTCTAGGTCTAGTGTTAGTTTTAGTAATAGCGTTAGTTCTAGGTTTAGTTGCTATTCAGTGCTAGGTTGTTGCATATTTTTATTGAACTATAACTAAAACTAACACTTTGACCTGAGTCCTGAGAGACGCACGGCTAAACCCGAATGTTTTTAGGTCTAGGTTGTATATTTTGAACATTTCCATCTTGTTTCTGATGATGCAAATGGATTAATGCTTTCTTCCTTTTGACATAAACAGCATAGAATTTGTGATCCATATCCCCTCTTCTCGTACCGCATTCCCACATATTGAGTGCACTGGATCTTTCCAAATGTCACATAAATGGACTTCAGTAGATTCTATTCCACAAACAATATAACATGCTTTACAGTTGCTGACAGCTGATTCCCTTTTTGATGCAAGTAATACTACAGATGTTTTAATTGTTGAAGCAGGAGTTGAAGTAGAGTTGTTAAGTGGTTCAAGTTGTCGATAAATTTCTCTAAATTTATAACCGTCTTGGTGAGTAAATCAGCTGCCGGTACATCGTGTGATATTGAAGTGTTATTGTTGGTTGATTTAACAATTAATAGATCGTTCAAAGTTGAAGTGTTGTTCTCTAAGATAGCTGCTGGTAAGTCCCCTGGTGTTAAAATAATATCATCATAATATCAATTGAACAAAGTAACAGTCTATAAACCAATTGCTTGTGTCATTGTCAATTAGCCAAACAACAGCTCAACATCTTCCTTTGATCGCTCAACAGATCCTTGAAAACCATACGGGTATGGTTACGCCTACATTTATAATTTTGCACGTTGGCCAAAGGCTAGTTAATTCTTGTATGAAAGTAAATTCACGGCTGTTGTCGCTTTGTGGTATATGAGGACAACCTACATCCAAAAATATTTATAATAACAACATTGCTACATCATTGCGCCTCTTGTTGTAATCAACGGTCGAAAAAAGCTGAATTTCGTAATTTCATCTGTCTTCTTCTTCTTTCTAATATGGATATCCATATTGGTAGGCCATTGCCTGTTTATTACCAACACATTCTGCACGAAAGATGAGGTCCAACATTATCGCCATCGTTTCAGTGGTCTTCCCTGTAATCTTTTTTCTTTTGATCATCTTCCTTACTTTTTTATATGTTCCAGATTCTTTGTCTCTATCTCACTCATCTCTATATTTTGCATTGTTGTCTGATATCTTCGTTCCGTATTCTGTCGTGTAGAATATTGCCTTGTATATGTCTTAGGGCCTTTGCACACGAGGTAATACGAAAGCAATAAAAAGTTGCAAAGCGATGTAGGCGATACTTGTGATGTTGGTGATATCGGTGATCTGAGCAATTTTAAACAGTCAACTTGTGCGTTCTATAACGTAAAAATGTCGAGTGCATCAAACGAAGAAGAAATGTTTTATTTGTATCGGTACAGAAGAAACAGAAGAACGAAAAGAAACGAAAGTATTGGGTTCATTCTTTTAACGAGCGAAATATAAGATGTAGGCTGTTCGTGGCAGCGAAAGAACTGCAAGAATGTGATACAAAATTTCTTACATTCTACAGAATGTCAAAAGAGACATATACCGCTCTTGCGGAAATTATTACCCCTCCTCTTTATTACCAAAATACCAACATGAGGGAATGCGTCACTGCTGAAAAAGGGATTTTAATTACATTACGGTAAATAAATTAAGGTATAAATAAATATTTATATAAAAAACTTTCCAAAAATAAATATAATATGTACATCTCTATTAGGATTATAACTAATGGTACTGAAAAGCGGTCGTTTCTAGTTGAGGTTCAGCAGTTAAAGGAGGATTATATTCGTTACTTGGACTAGAGGGATCGTGTGTTGAACGGAAGCTACTAGTTAGGGACGCTGTTTCGGGAATTGAGAAATAGAAGAGTGACTAGGGCTACAAAGATTATCTAACATGGTGTTTGAACAATCTTATTTGAGCATCAGTCGGCAAGACATCGGGGACAATGCTGCTGAAAAAGTCTAAAAGTGCCTCTTTTCTTCCGTCTTTAGATCCAAGTGATTTTTTTGCGCAACGTAATATTTTGCGACTGCTTTATCGACATCATTTTTAGAAGTACAGGATTTTCTTTTTCTACTACATTGTTTTCTAGCAGTCGGAAGAATTGCGGGTAGTTGTGGTTCAGGATTATCAGGCTGCTTGCTGACTTCCGACAGAGAATATTGTGGTGCTGAAGATGTAGATGCAAGGGATGTTGAAGTTGGTGGTGGTAGTGGTGATAGAAAGGGAGACAAAAAGTCATCATCTTCAGATTCGGAACGTTCAATAGTTTCAGTTTCAAGGACAATTTTCTCGGTTCTTTTAGAACTTTTACATAAATTATTCTCTCTTCAAGTGCTAAACACACCCATAAGTAGCAGAGATGTTAGTAAAGGTAATGACATAGTTAAAGCTGTACGTATACTCCACAACCTCATACGCAAAAGAGATGTCAATACACATTTCGAAAACTGGAAGAAGTGGAGTCTTCTCTGTGTGGCTCCTACTATAAACATGGTGAATGGTGCATCAGCAGCTTTTGAGGTTATAAACTATTTAGCAAGTTATTTTTTAAAGCCACTAGCGACTTCGTTGCAGGTTGCAAGAATATCGCACGCATCTCCAGGATTGCTTTCATATCGCTCCGTTTGTGGATTTCCATTCCTGTTATTAGAAGCGATACTAGAGTAATATAATATCGCTGTTGAATTGCTTTCGTATTGCTCCATGTGCGGACGGCCTTAGTATTTTCATTTCGACTGTTCTCATCATTTGAGGAGTCTTGCTTGTATCTGGTCTTGTCTCTGCTGCGCCTTATGCCGTTTCATATATCTTAATTTTGCTTTCGGTATGAAAGTATTTGTTCTTCCAAACAATCTCTCGTAGGCATATCGAAATTCGAGCAGCTTTCATTGTTTGCTCTTTCACTTCGGTAAAAAGATTTCTGCCCTTAAATATTTGAAACGATTCACCTGTTCGGCAGTCTTGGATATTACTAAACATTTGGTCTTCTCAATGTAACCTTTGGAGGTTGTCCTCAAAACCTGCAATAAGGACAGCATTGTCAGAATAGTAGACGACATGAAAGGATTCTAGCAAGGTTTCCTATTATTTTATCCATTATCAAATTAGATATGAAGGGACATGTATATATTTTATTGTCATATGTCCTACTCTGATTTTTGTTTTACATTGAGTGTTACACTGGTCATGGGTGCCAGAGGAGAGGTGTGAGGAAAAGGTCCTGACTTGTTTATTTTATTTTTTCACTAAACTAGTTAAGGGATTTGATCAATTTGAGTTTCCGTGATTTGATCTTGCATTTCTTTGCGACTTATATTCAGTAGGCAATGTTATTATATTTCAAATAGTTTTAAAACATGTGTGAAGCATTCTCTATATGACGTTAAGATATATCTCAATGAAACCAAAAAATAACAATTTTTGTAAATACGTAAAGAATACTGCAATATCTATTTCTATATATTTTTTCTCAATTTATATTATTTCTCGGTCTGTTGTAATAATGTGTTAGTAACGACGAAAAAAATGCAATGTTATTAGCTCCAAAGTGAGTGAGTAGTCAAAATTTTTACAATTGGCAACAATATCATATCCACAGTGCCCTGCCTATTACCCCTCCCATTACGGAACAATTGCCATGCATTTGGTGGGACTCGGAGTGCGACAGGTCGCTGCTAGTCGGCACGTGGAAGCACGGCTACGAAAGCTATACCGAGATGCGCGCAGACCCAACCCTGTGTTTCCTGTCCCGTTGTGGTCCGCCCTCGGCCCGTGAGCTCCAGTTGGCTTCTTCTAACACGCAAACCTCCGCAACTCCACTGTAAGTAGACAAAAAACAACAAGAAAACCTTTGGACCAATAACCATTATTATTGGGCGAAGAAAATACAAGTTTACGTGAATATGTTGCAATTGAAGCTTTGAGATAGTACCATCACAACACTTTTGATAAACCTCTAGGATAGATTCTAGATTCATTTAAAAAAGAAAAATTCTAGAGTGTTATATCAAGTTTACTAAGATATGTGTTTGCAAATATCTTAATATTTTTTTGCATTTATTATAAGTTTCAAATAATTCGTTATTTATTACTTTGTTTTCTTCATCATTATATTTTGTTAAGCTTGTATTTTTTACAAAACCCTTTAATAATAAAGTTTACAGTATCAATATAAAAATATCTGGACAAATAAGGTGAATACAGGTAACTTTTTCTCCCTATTATTAATTTTTATAGATTTTCAATCACATTTTTTTAGTTTTTGTTCATTCAAGCTTTTTATCGCGCTAATATTTGCTCTAACATTTTACGTATATAAACCATACCTTGTATTTGTCTGCATGTCTTAATGCGGCTCATTCATTTATCAGTTTGGTTTACATTTTATACTTTTTTTATATCAAATTAGTAACGATGACGATCTTGATGATGAAGATACAAACGAAGAGATGAGCGTTAAATCTAAACAAAGAGATTCTGAGCAGAATTCTGAATTTGCCGAACCTTCTCCGGGGCCTTCGGGTTCTTCCGAAACTCAACCGCCTGGCGAAGATATAGACGCGATGGAAGTTGATGATAAGAACCAATGGCCTTCGGTTACCGATCTCAATACTAGATTAAGAAGGGTGATTACTTCTTATCAAAGAAATTATCGAAAAGAAGAACAAAAAACTACGCCTTCCTCAACAAAAAATAAGGTACAAAAAATTGTTAGTAATTTTTGTTTATTTTATAAATTGTTTTTAAGAGTAGTTTTTGGGATTTTATTTAATATGAATAGATAAAAGTGAGTACTTGCAAATATCTGCATCTGTTTTTCAAATTATCTGTGTATTTTCTTGAATGGAAAACGCCACTTTTTTAATAATTGTTCGTAGATGTTTATATTTGTTTTACTATTTATCATGTTTTTTAAAAAATTATTTAAAGCACAATGAGAATCTCTTTTATGGTATTTTTGCTATCAAATTAATCATCGTGCTTTAAAACCGAATCAAATCATAAATTCCATTTGTGCACTTACGTGCATGAGTGTTCCCCCCTTTTTTTACTTGGCTGTTTGGGTAGAATGTAGTTTGCACTGTGCAGCCGCCCATTGAGTCCGCCCTTACCAATCCGTTGGCCGCCCTCGCCCAAGTTTCCCATCAGCTGGAACGTGGAGGAGACATGTCGCAATTGGGTCTACCTGGATGGGATATTCAACAATTGGCTTTCTATTTACTGGTTAGTAACAAACATTTTTCAAATGCTTTTTGTTTCTTTTCGTCGTTATTTTTGTTTTGAGTTGGTGTCTTATTTTCTTATTATAAATGTTCCACTCATCATGTTTCATCTTCCTGTTTGTGTCATGGGTAAATTTGAAATTTTAATTAGTTTGACGCATTGTGGATAAATTACAAAAGAATTATGATGAATTAAATAAAAATTGTAGATAAGGGCTTGAACATTTACAAAATGCGATAAATTACGATGATTCCACAATGTATTTCATTTATTCTTTACGTCTGATAATGTTGTATGTATTTAAATAAATATTAAATGGGGGTTTATAGTAAAAATATGATTATCATCAAAATCCAGGTAAGTACATTCATATTTTTATTTATTTTCCATTATCGAATGGGGATTCTTGAAAGGATTAAATAAAATTTGGGGCTAACAAAATTGAGTTTGGGTTTATTTTATTTCCATAAATAATCCAACCAAGCGGTAATAAAATCAGTCTTTACGAATGAACGGACCAAAGCAGTTAAATCAGTTTTTTGTCCAAGTCAGAAATTTATGGGTTTAGCAAAAACGTTCTTGTTATTCAGTTCTTTTTGGAGCACTTTGCGCAAGTTCAAGTCAAAATTTAAAACATCATTTTTACACAAACCTATTGATTATAACTTCTAAATAATTACAATCTTTTTGTATACTTTAACTCTAAATAAAACGAGTTGAATCACAATCTATAAATACCAAAGTAATTTGTTTTAAGTCCAAAATAAAACCCATGTTACAAAAATTGCTTAGAAAGTTATCTTAAAATTTATACGCTTTATATGTTTTTTTAACGTCATCTTGTCTTCATTCTACTAACAAATCATGCCCGTTTAACATTTCGAATTTGATGCTGACAATTCCAGAAGATGGAAAAACAACAGCTCGAGGCGCAAAAGCGCGAGAAAGAACGACCGCCTCTATCCAAAAGATGGACGCGCCGCGAAGAAGCCGATTTCTTCAGGGTTGCTTCATCGTACGGCGTGATTTATAATCGAAAGAAAAAAAGTTACGATTGGATCAAATTCAAACAACTTTCAAAGCTTGAAAAGAAAACCGACGAGGAATTAACGGAGTATTATAAAAGTTTTGCGATAATGTGCAAAAAACAGACCGGGTTAAAGTCGGAAGATGAAAATTATGACAACACCATTCAACATATCAGCGAAGAAAAAGCGAGGAGGACACTGGAACGATTAGAACTGCTTTCAAGGATTCGCGAAGAAGTTATCACAAGCCCCGAATTGGATGAGTGCCTTCAGGTTTGTTTATCATCAGCAGATATGCCCGATTGGTGGATTCCCGGAAAACACGATAAAGATTTATTATTAGGTGTTGCAAAGTAAGTTTTAAAATAAATTAATTCATCTAGAACCTAACGATATTTTTAATTTAGACACGGACTTGGTAGAACTGATTATTACATTTTAAACGACCCCGATTTCTGCTTCCACGAAATCTTAAGAAAAAAAGTAACATCAGAGTCTCATTCTCAAGAACACAAAGACGCTATAAAAATAGAAAGCACCGAAGATATCCTCAAATTTGATAAAAATGAGATTTTAGTGAAGCTCGAAAAAGGCGAGGGAACCTTGAAAATAGAAAAGGTCGGTGTTAAAAAGGAAGAAAAGCTCGAAGAAAAAGATAAAGACGAATCTAAACAAGAATCGTCCCCGGTAAAAACAGAAACAATTAAATCAGAGAATCCAGAAGAAGAAAAAGCAATTGAGGAGAAAGAACCGGATGAAAACGAAAAGAAAGATCTTGATGATAAAGAAACGGAGGGAATTGTCGATAAACCCGAAGAAGATGTCGAAAAACTCGAAGATAAAGAAGAATCAAAAGAAGAATCAATAGAATCGACCCCCGAAAAAGAGAACCCCCAAAAAGAAAACCCCGAAAATTCTGACATTAAAGAAGAAGACAAATCAAAAGAAAAAGACGAAAAATCATCTACAAAAGAAGAACCAACGAAAGATAACGATATCTGCTCGAAACAAGCCGCGGAATTAAAAGCAATGTTCCCCGACTTAGAAGTAATTCAACCACTTTCAAGACTTTCCCAAATTGATACTTTTGTACTTCAAAAAGATCCCCATAAAAGCGGTAGTGATGCTTTGGATTTCAGTGAAACAACTGTAGCAAAACTTTTTAACAACGCCGTGAAATGGCCGAAAGAATTCGCTATACAAGTGCGGCTTCAACACATCATTTACGCCCTTGAATCCAAAGAATGGCCGGTTTCAAAAACGTTTTCGGCTTATGCTAGTGGAATCGGAAATGAATTTGACATTCCCATTCATGAAATTCCGAATGAAACCCCAAAACGGGATAGTTCGACTCCAATGACAACCGGAACAGATACCGAAGTTATTACAATAACTACTGATAGTTTGAATAGAAGTAATGCTGCAAAGAAACGGGGGAAAAGACATATCGCGATTGATGTTGAAACTGACAGGGCGAAGTTGCACGCATTGTTGAATAACACCCATGGGTTGCAAAATCCTATGTTAAAACATGGTTGGGGCGATAACGATGATAGTGAAGATTCTAGGAGATCAACTCCGATTTCTAATACGATGCAACCACCTCCCGCGCATCAACATAGTTCTTCTACGGCTTCGAGGTTATTACATTTTGATCCTAAATATCCTATTGCTAAAACTATTGGGCAAACAACGGTTATTCCGGGTACAAGTAGTACTTTAACGCCGATTGACTTAAGTTCAGGGTAAGAAAACATCATTAATTTTTTATTTTGAAAATAAAATTTGATTAAATTTAATATAATTAAAATGTTTTGGTGATGTATAGGCTTGGAAAATCTACGTCTATGGATTGCTCGAAATCTTCGATGCAAGATATGCAAAATGAAGTTCAAGACTTTTCAATGCCATCTAAAAAGCAACATTTACAAACTGCGGCTTCTACATCAATTATTTCGTCAAAAGCTACCAATAAACTCGATGATACTTTGTCGAAATTAATGAAAAGAAAAAATTGCGTAAGTTTTTTTTAATTAAATTTTTTTTTATTTGACTATCATATATATAGTTGAGTTAAAACTTTAAAAAATCAGATAAGATGACTTGTTAATAATAACTTAATACTGTAAAATTTTGATAAACATTATGCACATATAGTTTCTAGTTAATATTGAATTCCAGTTATTTCAAGGAAATGCTGTTTAAGTTTTCTAGGAATTTTAGCTCAATTATATCGTACCAAATAAACATATTTAGCAAACATTTAAAGGAGCACATTTTATGCTCTAATTTGGAACAAATCTTTAAAAAATTGATTATTCTTACATTTTTTTAGATGTTTACCCTCGAAAGTTGACAAATTTGTTGTACAATGTACAAAAATAATACTTTTAGATATTTTATCTTCTTACCAACTTTGATGAAATGATGATTATTGCATTTTTAGTGGTTTGTGTTAACTTATTTCAGCCAAAACCACTCTATTCCAGGTTTTGGAAACAAAAACCATTTCATTTTATATTAAACGAATCTAAATATTATTCCCAGTCTCAGATATAATTTTCTGGGAGTATGCAACTATGTAAATCTTCTAGATTTATTAAGCTAAGTTTTTATACAAAACTGATTTTTTTAAATACAGGGGAAATGTAATATTTCATTATGTCTTATAGAAGAAATGTTAATAGTTCAAGAGCGTCATATAATGAGTGTTATAACTAGGGATAAGGTGTTAATAATAACTTAATACTGTAAAATTTTGATAAACATTATGCACATACAGTTTGTAGTTAATATTGAATTCCAGTTATTTCAAGAAAATGCTGTTTAAGTTTTCTAGGAATTTTAGCTCAATTATATCGTACCAAATAAACACATTTAGCAAACATTTAAAGGAGCACATTTTATGCTCTAATTTGAAACAAATCTTTAAAAAATTGATTATTCTTACATTTTTTAGATGTTTTCCCTCTAAAATTGATAAATTTGTTGTACAATCACTTTATAACAAAATAATGTTTTCTTTGTAGATTTCTAAATGATTACAATGTACAAAAATAATACTTTTAGATATTTTATCTTCTTACCAACTTTGATGAAATAATTATTTTGATGATTATTGCATTTTTAGTGGTTTGTTAGAACTTATTTCAGCCAAAACCACTTTATTCCAGGTTTTGGAAACAAAAACCATTTCATTTTATATTAAACGAATCTAAATATTATTATAGTCTCAGATATTATTTTCTAGGAATATGCAACTATGTAAATCTTCTAGATTTATTAAGCTAAGTTTCTATAAAAAACAAAATTGTTTAAATACAGGGGAAATGTAATATTTCATTATGTCTTATAGAAGAAATATTAATAGTTCAAGAGCGTCATATAATGAGTGTTATAACTAGGGCAACCAAAAATATGCTCCAAAAATGTTAATTTAAGCGCTTAAAAAAATGTTCTATAAAAATCAAAACATGCTGTTTAACTATGAAAATATATGCTCTATAAAAAATTAGAATTAAATATTAAAATATGGATATCTTTTAAATCTAGGTTAGGTTAAACAAAGTAAATGAAAAATGAGTTCTATTTATATACACAAAATATTTATCAGTTCGACTTAAAAATCTAAAAGAGAATTAGAAAATATTGAAGAAAAGACAAATAGAAAATAAAACGGAAAAACATTTATAATAAATAACAAAGATTCGTTCATAAAACATTCTTATACATTGAAAAACTTCGTTCTATTTCCACTTAAGTTATAGGTGAAAATTTAAATGCCAGTGCTTGACTAACAGTGTATTTATTGTTATTGAAAAAGAATGATTTTTTGTAATAACCACAGCCATTTTTTTCTTTACTAAGTTAGCAGCTTCACTGTTTATGTCATTAATTAAGTCCTGAGCTTGTGTCACTACTTCAACCTGTGCAGAAAGCAGCAGTCCAGCTGTTTCCAATGTTTTTATTGATGCGCTAAAGCAGCCATAATTTGATGCAATGAAAATCAAGTATGATTTTTTTGTATTGTCATTTAGTAGTTTCTTTGAAATTTTGATTGATGCCGCGTCCTCTTCATCCAATGGAGTATTTCTCAACCTTTCAACGAAATGCCTACTTTATTAGGTTCGCTTTATTTATCACCCCCTATACTTGTTCCATGTAAGAATGAAAACTGCCGATTTTCGACGTTACTTTCTGAGTTGACTGCACATATAGGTTAATGTGAAAGAGTCAGTGTAAAAAAATTAAATTTAAAACCAACAAAAATAAATCTTTATTCTACTTTTACCATAAAAGTATAAAAAAGGATACCTGAATTACATTGAAAGTTTTAATGAGAATTTTGAGGTTGATGATTTTTACATAACTTAGTAATATTAGTTCCTATATTCGTATAAAATTGATTCAATGATCATCGTGATATTAATTAAAATAGAAAGAATTAAATAAAATTCGTGTAACGTAAATAATGTAGTGGTCTTCCTCAGGCACAATTACAATAACAAAAAATGTGTTAGAAGAAACAGAACAATCCAGAAATTACCCTAAATAAATATTATGATCTAACAATATAAAAGTAAAAAACATAAATTACCGTCAGAGCGCAATTTAAATATTAAATGACATCAATTTCTTTAGGATGAATGATCTTGACTCAAAGTTGGTCTAAAAATCAATACAAAATGGTCAATTGTACAAATAGCGTATTAACAATAATTATCTGTTAAAGAATATTTAAAAATCAATAAGTTGTATGTCGGAAAATAAAATAAACGGCTATGTTAACATATCAAAAACATGGAAAAATCACGAACTTAACAACAAAATACAACAAATCGAAAATGAATACTCTTCACACAAAAGGACGAGATAGACTAGTTTCGATAAAGAATTATTGAAGAGAGAATAAAGGCGATATCTCATTCTAGAAAGCGGAAACATGTTGTATCTATTCTATAATTTAAATTCTATTTCTTATCTATATCTATAAATATGAAACATCTATCAATAGATTATATGGCAAAATCACTTATTGCATGTATTTGATGAAAAACCTATAATTATTAGCATCCGCTAGGTCGTTCATAAGACAATTATTGTTGTTATTCTTATATATAAAGTATTCCTCAAATAGATCACGTTTTTTCGATTTTTTTACATTTTTCAACAGACTCACATTATTAATATTTGTAGTATGGTTAGGTATTAAGTTTTAAATGCTTAAAACAGTTTTAATTTCAGAAGTGAACTGCAGGTTATTAATATTATTAAAAATATTATTTAATGCTGAAAGTTTTGCTGCATTACCTTCAAAAATGGTAAAGATATCATTTTGTTATAAACTTATATTTATCTAAGAAAAGCTTGTTTTCGAAATGATTGACATAAATATCAGCTATGAGATACACCTGAGATGGGCGACCCATAGGGAGACCATCTTTCATTTGGTAATAATTATTATTAAAAATGAAAACGTTGAATGAACCATTTTAAGTAACCTAGAGAAACGTGTTATATTATCTTCTTCTAGATCTAATGAATTTTGGTTCTTAAGAAGAAATTTCTCAATTATGGAAATGAAAATTTATCTATTGGGATATTAGTATACAGATTTTTGATGTCATATGATATAAGTATACTATTTTGGGATTATGAAATATTTTTTATTTTATTGATGAGGTCTATAGAATTTTTGATATTATAACAAATGGTTATTAAAGACTTTGAACAAAAACCTTTGAATGTGTTTCGCGATTCTGTTAGTAGGGTTATTATTATTCCCAATAATTGGTCTAATGCTATTGTCTGTTTATATTATTATTATTATTTATTGAATTAAAACCAGTTATATCAAGCCTCGACATCATATTATGGTTATCCTTAACAAATTTCTTAAGTTTATTACGAAATGGTATGGTTCGGTTGTTCTTAATTTTATTGATATTATTCTCTTTGAAGAATTGCAAACTTTTTCCAATATATGTATCGGTCTCCAATACCACTAGGCCGGCATTTTGTCTCCAAAAGTTATCGTTATATTGTTATCTTTGATTTTATTTTTGATGATATTAATTTGTTTTTTAATGGAGTGTGAAAAGTTAGTGCTATTATTATGTTTATCCAAACTAGAAATAATATTATGATTACTTACAAAAATATCTTTGATTATAGAGCTTTTAATCAATTGTGATTCCATATCAATAGCAAAGTCAACAGATTTGGTGTTAAAGGGTAAAGAAAATTTATGTCCCAGATCCAGAATTTCGGTTTCTTTATCTGTAAAAAGTGTATTGGTGAAATTATTGAAACGTGGAGGAAATTTAATATCATTCAAATTGCTCAGGTCAACGGAAAAAATCGGTTTAACTTTTTTAAGTCTTTTAATAGTGTAGAATTTTCTACATGTTTATCATTATGGAAAGTGGGGGCAGCGAACAATGTACCCGATTATTTGCCTTTATAAAATTTAATTTACCGTTATTCCTATTTGTTATGAAATTCTTTATATTATTCTTATCATTAATTAACCTATCGAGTTTGTTCTTTTTTATCTTCTTACTTCTAATTGCCTTGAAGTATATTTCTTCATGAAATTTGTTTAAGATAAATTCATGTTCAATGTAGTGAAGGAAGTTTTGTATTCTTCTATGTATGAATTTAAGAATAGGTCGATGTTGGAGAGCTTGCTATAAAGGATTCAAATATTTTTCTCCATTTCGAACTGTTGTGATTTGAATGGTTTTGGTACTTTTATTCTGAAACATTTAGAAGTGACTCCAAGTTTGATAGCTGTATGTAAGAAATTGATGTTGTCCAATGTTCTTTCTCTTCTTAACATATTGTTACGCTGTGTATTTCGCAAACACACAGCCACAGACGTAATATTTCCCAAACATTCATTCAACTCTACTGAACATAAACAGGCATCATTTCGTTCTCTTTTCAATAGATTACAACAAGTACCGTTAAATGATTCCAATTATCTCACAGAACGCCATAAAATTGTACAAATCGG